AATTGAGTTCAAACAGTTTTCCAAGGAGTTTGGTATATCAGGCCTTAAGATAACTGCAATAACCAGGTATACTTGACATATAATTCAATCTGACACTAGCTCTTAATGAATAGCAAGAGACACTTATAAAATTAATAACAATGATAACTGCACACATACTACACGGAAATTATTTCACCATTAAGGTATCACAGGACGGTTCCTGGCCCAGAATAGTCATTCGATATTGTATTTGTTGAATAAATGTCAAAAGATTGATAAATAGCGTAACTATATCGTACATGAACATGTCTTTTTAAAAAAAAAAACAAAAGGTCAACCTTTAGACAGTTGTGAAATATATATCCTTTACATCTAACTTCTCCTTCAGTCTGTCAGTGTATACATACACACATATGCACACACAAATACACATAAAGGAGAGAGACTGATTAGTTGATTTTAAGTTTATACCGAGTGATATATATATATGATGAACCTGAAATATATATGTATGAACCTGAAATAATCTTTTTCACATACTACCATTTAGATATCAAAGTAATTACTTTTCTTGCTGTTATTGTTTCCAATCAAATAAGAGAGTATGATTAAGAAAATAGAGTTGATCCATTACAGTACTATAGACTAGTGCTATTAGCCAACTTGCAGCCATTCTCATAAAAATTATGCAATTTAAACTGGAAGATACAAGTGCCTGCTTCTATTAGAAACAAGGACCCTTTTCTACTTCATAATATGCTCAATTACCTTTAGATTGATCCATGAATAAATTATAATCCAAATAGACTTCTTTACCTTAAAGCTTTGCTGGCTTAAGGTATCATTGTTGATTCATTATGTTGTCACTTTTCTATCGGCAATGTAATGCTTTCTATATCTGGATAGAGACAGTTTTAGTGTGAGATACTGTTATCTTTAAATGAGTAGGATTTAGCTTTTCTGGTGAGAACAAATTCATCAATGATGAATCCCTGGAGAAACTATTGAAACAAAAATCACACCATTTCTGAGCTTTGTTCAGTTCATCAGTTACAAAGCAGCTTTTGATAGTCCTAAAGAACTTTTTCCTTTGTTTAAGAAATATAGCATGAGGCTCAAAACCCCTTGCTTTGAGTTACCGCAGGCTACAACTTTTTCTGCAAGAAAATAATGAATGGAGAGGAAAAGCTCCTGCTGCTGGCTCTGTCAGGTCCTGCTGCTTCTCCTCCTGCAATAGGAAATCAATTAACTACATGTTCAGGCAGAGATTTGAACTAAATGCTTTATTAATCATCACTGATTGCACACATACACAGTGGCCAACTATGCATTCATCTTCACTTTTTGTTAGCTTTGTTTTGGTTCTTTTTCTTTTCTTTCTTTCTTTTTTTTTTTTTTTTACAGGATCACAACACAAATGTATGCCTAAATTTATTATGTATGAAGGTGATCTTCTGGTACAGATGAGAACTGATCTTTTATATTTTCAGAAAACTTAACTTTTAAAATGTTCAATACCCTAATATCCACTTTAATGCATAAAATATGTTTTTTTAAAAAACACTTAAATTTTCATACTAATTAGGAAAGCAAAATGCCTATGGCAGCCTTGAAGTTTTGAAAGCTGGTATATACCTTGGCCTTTAGGATCTCCACATAGCAGTGATGAATCACACACAAATGAACCCAAGTTGATTCGGAGATGCCTGGTGGAAGGTTGAGGGAATGGGCACTGATAATTTGCGTGTATGCACTCTTTCAATTTAAAGAAAAATTTGCCAAGTTTTCCTGTTAGTCCATCAGTTCTTCTAACCAATGCACGAGGAAAATCCTACAAGAATGTTTATGTTAAGTTGAGAACCTCTCCTTAGGACTGATTATAAATGATGAGCATGTGAGAATCATAGCACTATTAGTTATGAAAAGGCTGCATGGCATAATTTATATATGGCAAATGTGGTCAACCATTGCAAAAACTTACAGAAAATATTAGGCTGTTAGATGTTTACTCAGGCTGTATTTCATTCAGTATCAAGGGATTTTCTTTTTTTTTTTTTTTTTTTTGAGACAGAGTCTCACTCTTTTGCCCAGGCTAGAGTGCCGTGGCATCAGCCTAGCTCACAGCAACCTCAAACTCCTGGGCTCAAGCGATCCTCCTGTCTCAGCCTCCCGAGTAGCTGGGACTACAGGCATGTGCCACCATGCCCGGCTAGTTTTTTCTATATATTTTTAGTTGTCCAATTAATTTCTTTCTATTTTTTAGTAGAGGCGGGGTCTCGCTCTTGCTCAGGCTGGTTTCGAACTCCTGAGCTCAAACAATCCGCCCGCCTTGGCCTCCCAGAAAGCTAGGATTACAGGCGTGACCCACCACGCCCGGCCAAGGGATTTTCGAATATTTATTATTGTTACTGCCACTGTTGGAACAATTTGAAATCATTATGAAACCGCCCTTCACACAGGTCAATAATGGGGTGCAAGTGGAGAGCTACGGTAAAGGCCTAGCTAAAAATAATGCACAGGCCTAGCTAAAAATAATGATAATAATTAGTAACTGTCCCCCTATAATTGCCACTCCAGAGCCACACAGCTGGTGGTCATAAAGATTCTTAACTTTCTCTATAGATAATATCACCTTTTTGAAACCTAAAGGTAATTTTTAAGATATCTTCCAGGCTCCGAATTCAGTGGATTGGTTGGCCCACCCAGACCAGTGGCCCATACCAAGAAACCGACTCAACTGGAATTGTGACCCCAGGGGCTAAAACAACACAAGAAGATGATTTCTACACCCCTATAATTTTGCCCCAATTAACAAACCTAATTGCCTAATCCCTTGCCTGCCAAACTATACTTAAAAACCCTGTCTCCCAAATTTTCAGGGAGGCGGATTTGAGAAATTTCTCCTGTCTCCCCGCATAGCACTATGTGGAGTAAACTCTTTCTCTGCCTTGCAAACCCTGCTGTCTCAGCGTATTGGCTTCCTCTTGGGCATTGGGCATGGGAACCTGGTTGGGCGGCAACAATTATGCTTTAAATTTAATATTCACTCTGTCCATTTGGAGAAAGAAGAATCTAAATGGAAAAAAAAAAAAAAAGACCTCTCCCCTGATCTATATTTAAAAGAAAATACATAAAAAGTTCCAAGAATGATTTCTTTTGAATGGCCTTTACAAAACTCTTAGGTGAAATTTGATGATGTTGAGTAAAGGAAGACCCAATCAGAGAACCGGGATAATGGGTCAGATTTTCATGGAGCTTGCCAACGTGAGGGTTCTGCTAAAACCAGAGGTCATGTGTTTCAACACTTAACCATTCTTGATAACCTTCAAGTATATTAGATTAGCACCGAGGTGGCTTTGATGTATAAGAGAAGTGTGGAGAGAGGGACATTTTGACAAGATTTATATCATGTGGATGTGCATTCACCACCTTATGAGGTGTTATCTGGACCCCAGGGGCATTTCTTTGCCACCAAGTGTAATCCTTAATACCTCATCTGCCCCAGGAAAAAGTCATTTCATAAGATGACATTTCCAAACAAGCAGTATCTTTTCTATATTAAGGAGGCTTACATATGGTAAGTATTGAGGGTTTGTTTCATATTGTTAGTTATTACAGATGAAGTATAATTCTAATATAATTGTATATAGATTAATTTGACATGACATTGTTTCCATTTACTTGACTTGTCAACATAATTATAGTGAATTGATAATGGAAGTAACAATCTTAGATATTTCCACATAAATATATTCTTTGCTCATATAAATTTCCAGTTGTAGTTTTCAGTTTGGCTTAATTGGAACATGGTTTAAGTTTAGTTTACCTACTCTGCTGAGATCTCTAGAGGATCAGAGAACTCATTTTCCTGGGGCATTATGCAACCTGGCAAGTGGAGGCCAATGTTTTAAAACAAATGTGATTTTTCATCGAAGTACTTGCTAGGTCAGAGATCAGGATGACCTTGGAGTGCTGTAGTTTTCCAAACCTCCGTCAGCTAGATGAATGGACTTTATTTTGCAGGAGAGAGAGGGTGTTTTTGCAGTCTTATGAAAGAGACCTAGCAATTCCAGATTACAGGTTGACACAAAACATTTGGAATTCAGTGGTGTCTATCACCAGCAGTACGTATCAGTAAAAGTGAAGATCAAAGGTTCTAGAAGAGGGGAAGGACAAAGTGAAGAGGAAATAATTGTGGGATAATGAATGGTATGAGGGCATTTTCATGTTAACTTGAAACCACTTAGCATTTTTCCATGACACCCAGGTATCTTTCTAAATGAACTTTATAAAGTACAATTGAATAACCTTGAGATTTAAAGCTTCGTGATGTGATTTTGAATGCTGAAGGAGTTTAAGCACTGTGATATTTTCTCTGCTTTTCATTTCTATCTTTGCCTCCTTCATGCAAAATAAAATTTATTTTCTGTACAGAGAAATCAATATTTTTACCATTTTGTTTTTCAGCTATTCCAGTAAATTGCAATCAACATTAGTTACAGTCTTTAAAGAGATGTAGTAAGAATTTGAACACAATAAAATAGAGATACAGATTAGAACTTTGGAAAAGTACCTTTGCTATTGACAAAAGCATTTGTCAGGGACTACAGCTGTGTCTATATCCTGCTAAAAACCTGATGAAGGGGAAAAAAAGCATCAATAGGTTTCACCTTCTGTCTATACAAACCAAACAAATGGTTTAACTAATGGCTATTGTTTTAAGTGAATGGATTTGGTTTGCCACTGTGAACTTTATTTAGAAATGTATTTTAATTAACATTTGTATATCTAATACGTATTTGGGAAAAGAATTGTGCTCTTGTTTTCTTTTTAATAATTAATGGATTATAATATCTAGAAGACTTAGTGGTCCAAGAATGAACAAAGACTTTGTTATAGTATACATGAAACAATCTCCAGACACACATTTGTGTGTTGATATTATTTACATGTTTGTATCCTCCCATTTTTTCTTGTATAAATTAATACACTTTCTTATTTGTGTGTTTTCCTTTTAGAAATTGCCAAGTTTTGGACCTTATCTTGAGCAGCGCAAGAAAATCATAGCAGAGAACAAGATTAGACTGAAAGAACAAAATGCAGCTTTTTCGCCACTTGAGAGAAAGTGTTTTATCCCCAAGAAGCCTATCCCTACTGTCAAGGTAAAAATTAAGCCAAATATATAAGTATGTCTATTTTACTGTTCAGATATATAAATATAATTTAAATGTTCATTTACCGCTTAAATGTATCACTTATTTTGTTTCTAAAATATACCAAAAGTTTTAAAAATTCTGTCTATGGTGAAAAATGCATTTAAATTATAGAATATCCTTTTATTTATATATTTTATATTTTCTTTGTATATTTTATACTTTTTAGAGCACTGTCAAGCATGCATTTCACAGAAATTTTTGTATATACTAAATCTGTCAGAAGATATTAAGGTGAATTTTTTGTCTTCTCATAGTTATAAAAATTATTTTAATTCACAATTAACTCCAAGAGATCTCATATCAGTCATACAACACAACCAAATGATCAATATGCTGCAAGCATCAATATCAATATGATACCTTACATTTTGGAAAAACTTTCTTTGGTCCAGCCTCTGGAAAGCGTGTACCTTTGGGTGTCAGGAGATTATTTTCTGAGTAATAACAAAAATTACCATTAAGATGGAATTGTACGTATAATGTTACCTTTCTCGCTTTTTTCCTTAAACTTCTTATTTTGAAAGAAATGTAGAGTCACATGCAGTTGTAAGAAATAAAACAGAGAAGGCTTGTGCACCTTTTATCCAGTTTCTCTAATGTAGCATGTTGTGAAACTATAGTACAGTATCACAACCAGGATATTGACACAGACACAATCTACCAATCCTATTCAGATTTCTCTAGTTTTACTTCCACTGGGGGTTGTGTGCGTGTGTGTGTGTGTGTGTGTGTGTGTGTGTGTGTATTTAGTTCTGTGCAATTTTGTCACATATGTAGGTTTGTGTATCCACCACCACAGTCAAGACACAAACTGGTCCCATCACCCCCTGTATCCTTCAAGTTGCCTTTTTGTAGCCACACCCACTTTTCTCCTGCCCTTTTTTAACATGGAATTGTTTTAAAGCAATTATAATGAAAAAAAGTGGGAGGTGTGTTATTGGATGGCATTTCTCTGAAATCACCATCACTGAAATGTGATTTACAGTCACTGAAATTCTTTCTTCTCTGTTTGGTGACAATCTACTCCCACATCTCCATTCTCTGTTTGATACATCAGCTGAAAAGCTTGCTCTTAGGTGCTCTCAAGTAGACCTTGCTGAAATTTATCTTTAGTAGTCAACTGGAGATTGGAACCCTTAAAAATTCCATTTATCTATGCAAAAAAAAAATAATGTGTCTCATGCTTAAAACAGTGGAGTTTAGACTTGATGTTGCAAAGTTTCAATGACATAGAGTTCTGAAAGAAAAAATGGACGTGGCTGACCACAAAGTCTCCCAGCACTTCAATGTCATAATTCCAAATAAAACGAACACTTACAGCTTTTAACAGCATAATAGACCCAAACAGTCTCTTGAGCTGTCCCTGTTAAATTATTTGTGTGCTACTAAAAGGATAAGCGGAACAAGGATGGGAACAAGCAAGCAAAAAGGCCAGATCCTGTAGCCCTTTACAAGCCTTTTTCCCTCATATTTGGCTATGATTGATGTATGGTTTGGGGATATGCGGAAATTCTCCAAGTTGTCCCTCTTCTTAATTGATTTAAATTAAGTGTAAGGTGTCCATCTCTAGGCATCTTTTCCTTATGTGGAAAATTTTCAAAAGAAAGATATTATTTATATTTGAAATAAAGGAAGTGCAAGGTGATTATAAAAGCATTTTGACCATTTCTAGCCCTCTAATCCTTCGGGCAGTGTATTAATAACCTAGAAGTAAAACCAAACCAAATCAAACAAACAAAAAATCTACTGTGGTTGAATTAAAGACAGTAGATCACTAGTCCAAAAAATTATCAAATTCAGAAGAATTAAATAAACCAAAGAAATGTGAAGTCTGGAAAGTAGATAAAGATTTTTTAAAGTATCAAGGAGAGATAAAGAGTCTTACTAAAAATAGTACTTACTAAAAATAGTACAGGCTTATACTCCTCTCCTAAGTTACCTCACTTTAGAGGTTACCCAGCAAGAAATATCTTTGGTATTACGTGTTACATCAGCCTCAAGACATTATAGATACCATCTTACCAGCATCTTTGACCATATCAGTGTTGACACATTAAATGACTGTTGTGTAGATTTGCCCAGTGTCCAGTGGATTTTCCACTACCTTGGCCCTCTCTCCAAGGTTACCCATTTCTCCTGTTGTGATTTCTAGGAAGATAGCATACCCTGTCAGAAAACATAATGGCAGCTGATAATGGTGGGGTTTGCGGGGCAGGGGGCATTTTCATTTTCTATAAATTTAATTATCTCATTGGAAAATGAGGAATTAAATTCGTTATAATAAATGACTGCTCCTTTCATCTTGCTTTCTACAAGGCTTTATAAACAGTGAGGATAGCATATGTTTTATAGGAAGAAGGAAGGGATAGAGGTCTTTTCTTGTCCCCAGAGATATCCATGGATCCATTTTCAGATGACCCCTGATCTCTGGGTCATGATGTTGTCACTAATAGTGAAATATATATGTGTATATGATTGTATTTTTAAAATTATAGCAGTTGTCGCCTAATAAGATACACTTTCACTCCTATTTCAGTATGACTTTCCAGAGTGGGAGAGAAAGTTTATCTCCTGGAAACACCCACGGAAATATGTAGAAACTAACAGCTCTAATAAGCTTACAACTATCCCAAACATTATGGATGTTATATTTAATACTCAAAAATACTTGAGATAAGTGCTATATTCATCTTCATTTTAAAGATGAGAAAAATTGAGGAACAAAGAGAGATTAAGTAATCTGATCAAGTCACATAGTAAATAAGTAGTAGGGTGGGGAATGGAGGTGAGATTGAGAATGGCTGGCTTTGGGGATTCAAAAGATTGACTCATATTTGGGAATAATTAGAGAAGTTTGGATCATTTCTAGAAAATATTTGGAACAGACTAAAGATAGCTCATGGAAGATGAGGGCTTCAACATGGAACCATGGGAAGGTCATAACTAAGGGAATTGGGGGACATATGGGTTTTGTCACAGTTGTACTCATAATCACTTGATTTAGAATGAATATCTAATAAGAGACCTGTAAAATGAAACTACTGGACAAGGAATTCTTTCTCCCCTTTCCTTCCTCCCTCTCTCCCTTCTATAGTTTCGTTTATTTGTTTTGTTTTGTTTTTGTTCTAATGTTCAAAACACAAAGATTAATATAAAAATTACTCGTAATCCTACCACCTAAACTTAAGCACTACTAAAATTTAGATTTACAAAATTCTAGTCCCTTTTCTATACCTAAGTGTAATTTTTTTTATTTCAGCATATTATGGGGGTACGGATGTTCAGGTTACGTATGTTACCCTTACCCCCCTTACCCCCAAGTCAGAGCTTCAAGTGTGTCCATTCCCCAGATGGTGCACATCACACTCATTATGTATGCATATATTCCCCTCCACTCCCCTCCCACCTGCCCAACACCCAATAAATGTTATTCTTATATGTGCACTTAGACACTGATCAGTGAAACCAATTTGCTGGTGAGTACATGTGGTGCTTATTTTTCCATTCTTGGGATACTTCACTTAGTAGAATGGGTTCCAGCTCTATCCAGGAGAATACAAGAGGTGCTATATCACCATTATTTCTTATAACTGAATAGTACTCCACGGTATACATATACCACATTTTATTAAGCCACTCATGTATTGATGGGCACTTGGGTTGTTTCCACATCTTTGCAATTGTGAATTGTGCTGCTATGAACATTCGAGTGCAGGTGTCTTTCTTATAGAGTATCATTTGTTCTTTTGGGTAGATGCCCAGTAATGGGATTGCTGGATCAAATGATAGTTCTACTTGTATCTCTTTGAGGTATCTCCATATTACTTTCCACAGAGGTGGTACTAGTTTGCAGTCCGAGCAGCAGTGTATGAGTGTTCCTATCTCTCTGCATCCACGCCAACTTTTATTGTTTTGGGACTTTTTGATAAAGGCCAGTCTCACTGGAGATAACTGATATCTCATTGTGGTTTTGATTTGCATTTCCCTGATGATTAGAGATGTTGAGCATTTTTTCATATGTTTCTTGGCCATTATTCTCTCTTCTTTTGAAAAGTTTCTGTTCATGTTCTTTGCCCACTTTTTGACAGGGTTGTTCGATTTTTTCTTGCTGATTTTCCTGAGTTCTAAATAGATTCTGGTTATCAGCCCTTTATCGGATGTGTAGCATGTGAAAATTTTCTCCCATTCTGTAGGTTGTCTGTTTGCTCTTGTGACAGATTCTTTGGCTGTGCAGAAGCATTTTAATTTGATCAGGTCGCATTTATTTATTTTTGTTGTTGTTGTGATTGCCTTTGGGGCCTTCTTCATAAATTCTTTGCCTGGCCAACAAATATGGAATACTGATTCTCCTACTCATTTTTTTACATAAAAGTCTCATAATAATGTATGTATTGCTTTCGTTTTACATTGCTTTAATGGTTTTATAGTATTTCACAATAAGAACTTATTATTATTAATTTTTAAAATTAACCTATTGTTGAACCTTTAGGTTGTTTTCAAAATTTTAAACAAATAATGCCAGTATAACTATTACTGTACAGAAATATTTGTGTAGACCTCATATTGTTTTCTCAAGAGAAAGCTTCTCTTTCTCCTGAGTCCTCTCTCTCAATGAACACCACCCTACCCACCCTCTTATCTAAGTGAGAAACCTGAAATTCAGCCTAGAGTCCATCACATTACTCATCCTACTCATGAGCCAGTCATCAATATCTATGATTTTTCTCTCTCACATTTCCCTCCTATTATGATCTTTCCCTATTGCTGAAGCCTTAGTGCAATTCCTTACATGTTCTTTCCTTGATTTCTAAAATATCCCATTACCTGACCTCCTGCTTTCTTGTGTCATTCTTAGCTAATCCATCCTCCAACTATGATGAAACATTCTTTCTAAAATGCAGATCTGATTGTTTTACCCCTTGCTTAAAATTCCCCCATCATAACTA